GCCCATCGCATCGAGCGCGGTGGGTAGTGATAAGTGGGCTACTGCTCAGATATCCCAAACTTTGTTTAACTTTTTCTTCCGTATCCAACCCTCTCCCTTTACCCCTCCTTCCAACCCCTAACATTCCCTCAGACAACTTGTTCGTCACTCACCAAAGTTCGTTGCCAATTAGCCCGGTAAGTAGTTTACCACAAAATAGTTTGCAGATTCTGAAGCCTCGTCAGCCACGGAATCTGGGGGCCTTCAACGTGAGGACCCTGATGCAGATAAGTCAACAAGCTTGTCTGACGAGTATAATGGAATCCATAGGGATCGATATTTGCTGCGTGTCGGAGACTCGAATCCAGTATCCGTGTACCATAAGCCACTTAAGTGCACCGGGGTTGTCTTCGAGGTTCTTACTCCGCGCGCCAGGTGACAACGAAGCCCGTTCAGTAGGCCAGCGTGGTGTGGGCATTGTACTCAACAACGCAGGCGAAGCCGCACTACTCGATTGGATCCCCGTCAACAGCCGCTTATGTGCGATGCGGCTCTAAGGGTCTATCAGCGTCCGGAAAGGAAGCAACACCAAAAGTTGTTTGTTCATCATTTCAGCGTATGCACCGACTAACTGCAGTTCCGACGCACAGAAGGACGAGTTCTATGATAAACTCAGCGAACTCAGTCGGTTGAGCCCAAGCTCTGATATAATTGTCCTCGCAGGTGATTTTAACGCTCAAGTTGGAAAACTGAGCGCATCGGAAGCTTGCGTCGGTAGTCATTGTGCTCTGCACTGCCAGCGAACAGATAATGGCGATCGACTTCTTCAGTTTTGCGCAGGCCATCATCTATTCGTATCCAGCACCAACTTCCGACACAGCTCTCAACGGACAGTAACGTGGCGCTCAAATTCAACTGGCCTACTTACTCAGATCGACCACATAACAGTAAGCTACCGTTGGTGTGGCTCAGTACAAAACTGCAGGTCTTATTGGACCACCTACGTTGAATCTGATCATGCGTCAGTTTTGATGCAGTTCACTCTCCAACTCACTGATCGCAGAGGAAGCCACCGAACTCGATTGACAGATCATCGCTTATCTGACTCAGCTGTTTATGCACGTTTTGAATAAGCACTAGGGCAAGTGCTAAACGCACCGCGGGGTGGTAGTGTAGATGAACAATGGCATCACATAAGCTGAAGAATGCATTTCGCAACAAAGGTTGCTA